CAGTGGGTGCTCCAACACTGGAAGTTTTTAAGAAGAAACTGGACAGCCATTTGTCCGAAATGGTATAGGGTTTCCTGCCTGAGCAGGGGGTTGGACTAGATGACCTCCAAGGTCCCTTCCAACTTTATCATTATTATTACTATTATTATTATTATTATTATTATTATTATTATTATTATTATTATTATTATTATTATTATTATTATTATTACTATTATTATTATCTTCAAAGGAGAAGGAAGGAGACATACAGTAGTAGGAGAAGGAAGAAAGAGGAGGGGAGGGAGGAAGCAAGGAAGGAGAGGAGAAGAGAGGAAGGAGGAGAAGGAAAAGGCAGGAAAAGAAAGGAAAGAAAAAGAAAGGGGAGGGGAGGGGAGAAGAAGGAAAAAAGGCAGGAGAAAAAGGAATAAAGGAAAGAGGAAGGAAGGAGAGAGGAAAGGGAAGAAAAAGAGAAGGAAGAAAGACGGGAGGGAAGGAAGAAGGGAAGGAAGGAAGGGGAGAAGGGGGAAGAAAAAAGGAAGGAGCAGGAGAGGGGGAGGGAGGTGAGAAAGAAGGAGAGAAGAAGGAAGAGAAGGGGAGAAAGGCGAGGAGAAGGGATGGAGAAAAGAAGGAAGGGGAGAGGAAAGAAGGAAGGAAGAGAAGGGATGGAGGAAAGAGGAAGAGAAAGGGAGACAGGAGGAGGAGTGCTCAAACATTTAACAAGGGTAAAAGCAAAAGCAGGGCAGTGTTTTAAATTCATCTGTTCTCCATCATGCAAATCTCTGTGAATATATATCTTTTATCACTTTGCACTTTTCGGGGTTATAACTGAAAAATGTACGGTGATGTAACACCACTGAGTGCTTTTATCATGGGGAAAAATGCTCCTGCGGGGGAACAAGGCTTTGTTAATTCAAACCAGGACGGTTAAGCAACACATTTAACCTGGTTCCAGTATTACCTTGATCTCTGGATGTGCAAAATAAGTTAAGCAAGAGATGGAATGAGGGAAGAAAACACCCAAGAAGTTTTCCTTACTCTGCAGTGTTTCTCAATCTCAGCAACTTTTAAGACTTCCACTCCCAGAATAAAAGCCAGCACGCTTTAAGATGGATAGACTTCCACTCCCAGAATTCTCCAACCAGCACGCTTTAAAGGGGGTGGACTTCCACTCCCAGAATTCCCCAGCCGGCATGCTTTAAGATGGGTGGACTTCAACTCCCAGAATCCTCCAGCCATCATGCTTTAAGGGGGCTGGACTTCCGCTCCCAGAATTCCCCAGGCAGCGTCCTATAAGATGGCTGGCCTTCCACTCCCAGAATTCTCCAACCAGCATGCTTTAAGATGCATCTATTCCACTCCCAGAATTCTCCAGCCAACATACTTTAGGCCAGGGGTGTCAAACTCGCAACGTCACGTGACGTGTCGCGGCGTATCGGGACTTTTTCTCCATTGACGGCAATGGGGTGGGCGCGGTTTCGGCATGACGCATCCGGCCCACGGGCCGGCAGTTTGACACCCCTGCTTTAGGCTATGTGCACCTCATCTCCCAGAATTCCCTGCCCAGCACACTTTTAAGAACGGTGGACTTCCACTCCCAGAATTCCTCAGCCAGCAGGTTTTAAGGGGGGTGGGCTTCCACTCCCAGAATTCCCCAGACAGCATGCTTTAAGGTGGGTTGACTTCAATTCCGCAGGGGAATTCTGGGAGTTGAAGTTCACCCATCTTAAAGTTACTGAGATTGAGAAACACTGGTTTAAGAGATCGTTGTCTTTTGTGATACAGACAAGCTATAGATAAAATTTCTCCAATCTGATACCTTTTAAGCTCAAATCCCAGCATTTTAGGACCGAGACAGCTGTTCTGACCCTATTATAAATATTCAAATCCCCCCGACTCAAAATAGGACTGGTTAAAAAATTTCCAACAGTATACTGTAGATGGGACAGTATATAGGTAGTCCTACTTATGACCACAACTGAGCCATCATTTCTGTGGTTAAACGAGACAGTCAAGTGAGTTTTGCCCCACTTTACGACCTTTCTTGCCACGGTTGTTAAGCGAATCACTGCAGTTGTTAAGTTAGTCACACGGCTGTTAAGCGAATCTGGCTTCCTCATGGACTTTGCTTGTCAGAAGGTCGCAAAAGGGGGATCACGTGACCCCGGGGACGCTGCGACCGTCGTACGTCCATGCCATGTGTCCAGCTTTTGAATTTCGATCATGTGACCACGGGAACGCTGCCGTGTTCGTACGTGTGAAAAACCGGGCCCAAGTCACTTTTTGCAGTGCGACTGTAACGTTGAAGGGTTATGAAACGAATCGTTTTAAGTTGAGGACTACGTGTAGTAGCAAATGTCCAGGCTAATGTTTTGGCCTCCTCCTCAATTTGTTTCCACCGCCAATGTTCTCCTCTGTCCCAAAACGGGACCGTGAGGGAACAACGCCCGAGCTTTCCAAAAATGAATGGAAATAAGGCCTCTCTGTACAGCAGGGGTAGTCAACCTTGGCTCTTTTATGACTCGTGGACTTCAACTCCCAGAATTCCTGAGCCAGCTAAGCTGGCTCAGGAATTCTGGGAATTGAAGTCCACAAGCCAAGGTTGACTACCCCTGCTGTACAGCATAGGACAATTCGTCATGGCCAATTTGCTGCGGGACAACTTGCCACAGCCCACTAACTACAGGATAACTCGCCGTGGGTCAATTCAACACAGGATAACTCAACGCCACCGCTCCTTCGACATTATTTTAATTTTTTATCATTCACATTTCATTTTGTCCCTCCTTTAGCATCTTTTCCTTAATGATTCTAGTCCATCATTTCTTTGATATTAGTGTAACTCCTGTCCTGCGGCTAGTGGTCCCGCAATGAATTGGTCGTGGCGAGTCGGCCACCTCGAATTGTCCTAGACCAGGGCTTTTCAACCTTTTCACCCATTGTACCACTTTTAGAATATGGCAATATCCGAGTACCACCAGGCGCCTAGCAAGATGTCAAAAACTTGATGACCCAAAAAAAAGGGGGGGAAAGTGATAAAGTACAGGTAGTCCTCAACTTACAACAGTTCGCTTAGTGACTGTTCGAAGTTACAATGGCACTGAACAAAGTGCCCCCCAAGCCACAGCCGAGCAAGACACCTGCCTGTCCGCCCGTCGGCGCTCTTCCTCCTGTCCGAGGTTTTCATTCTTGTGAGCATTTCTGTTGAGGATTGGTGGGGGGTGGGGTGGGGGGGTGTTTGGTTTTTATTCCCCCCCGTCTGCTGGGTGGTTGCAGCAGGTTTTGGTCACTTCACATGACCCTGGGACACTGTGACCGTCATAAATATGAATCAGTTGCCAAGCATCTGAATGTAAATCAGAAGACCCTGGAGATGCTGCAACATTCCAGCTGATCGGCGCTTTTTCTGGGCCCAGCAGAACGGCCAGGATCAGCGCCGAACTCCAACTGGAGCCTGGTGCTGATCCTGGCGCTTCCGCTGAGCCCTGACAGCCCTGCAGCTCCAGCCGTCTCTCGCTCAGGCTTGTGCGGTGCTGCCACCTGTTCAGCTCATTCCCCTCCCCCGCTACCACTTTTCTAGGATGGTCGTGTACCACCTGCCAGGTGCCAATGTACCACAGGTGGTACCCGTACCACTGGTTGAAAAGCCCTGTCCTAGACCTCACAAAGGTGTGGCAGTGTCAGAGGCAATGAAAAAGCCCTTTCCCGTGGATCTGTCGTTGTGCCTGGCGTAGGCCCAGTTGAGGAGGTATCTGCCATTGAATTGGCTACCGATAAGAAACGTGGTCTGTTGGTGGTGCAAGCGAATTGGCCTCTTGTGGATGATCCTGGTGTGCTAATCCAACAGACTTTGGGGGACCAGAATTAGAACCACAAAGCAAGAAAAAGTCTTACAAGAATCCTTCCAGATCTGAACAGTAGGTTTAGTCCATTCTCAGCAACTTCTGATTCATCTTCACTTCAGCTCACTCTCTCATTTTTCCTTCCTTTCTTTGTTCAATATCTGTAAAGTCAGAAAAATCAAAATGGCAGTTTAAACGCCAGTGTTGAAGCCTCACTGATTTTTATGTGCATCACCCACACGGAGCACCAAAAATGATCTTCTTGAATCTTATCTTCTTGAGTTCATCTTCTTGAATCACAAGGATCTGGTTCCGCCTCAAAAGTTGGCACCTGTTCCAAAATGACCTTGACGTCAGCCAGGTTTTCCATATTGTGCATCAAAAGGAAACCTGGAATGTGCGAAAATGTTAAAAATGCAACATTCTATGATATTGTCCGTTGAACTAAGAACCTTTTCACAATTTGGGGCAATAGCAACCCCACATTTCTCCAGCTTCTGCTAGTTTGATGGGCATGGCTATCCTTAAAAACGAGAAGCACAAGAACGTTGAGGTATATTTTTAACAAAAAAACAAAAAAGATGCTAAAATTCTCCAGGAGCAATCCCTCAGCACTTTCAGTAAAATCAAGGCAGCCATCAAGATATCCAAATAGGCTATCAATGTTTCACTACCAGTAAACTGGCACAACAGGGAACACCTTGAAGAAGATTTAAAAGGTAGAAAAGGTGGCAGGCAATTTTTCGAGGTGGGGAAATGAAAAGATCAGGGCGCACTCTGATTAGAGACAATCAGAGAAGGACATGTAGATCAGTCTGCACGGTATTCTTTAACCTCGTTGCCCTAACCCGCCAACTAAAGACCTCAGGGCAAAAGAAGAGATTTGCAGAATTCTCACGGCCTCTGTGGTTGGCCAACCGCAAGTCCCAGGTTCCACTTGCAACATCAGGCCACATCTGGAACATTGTGACAGCTGCAGTCACCGGAAGGCTTTGGGAAGCATACAACCTCACAGCCAGTGATTATTTGGCGACCACAAAGGCACCTCCTTGGACGCAATTCGTGATTCTCCATCTCGGCTGGGAAGAATGGCAGCCGGTTCCGAAACGGTGCTTCCCCCAAATCCCCGATCTGGAAAAGTGAGACAGGTTAGTTCCAAAGCAGATGTTTAAGTGTTCGCTATCGCATTCGGTCCGGAGCTGGCGAACTGCTGTAGAGCCTCATTGCTTTGCGGCAGATGAGAACAAACCAGTAGATCTGGGGCGCGATCAAGAATGCGTTGGCCACGTTGCAATGCAGAGGGATGCGAAAGGGTACCTCGTAGATAGGCAGGTTCATCTGTCGCCCGTAGGCCCAGTACATGTACGGGAAGAGGAGGATCCGGCACAGGAAGAAGGTGACCAGGATGAGGATCCCGTTGATCTTATGCAGGAGGGAATCTTGCATTTTCACCTGTAACCCCACCCCCCAAAAAAGGAAATGTTGAGAAGGTTAAAGGAGAAGCAA